TTCTGTATCTAAAAATTTTGGGAATTCGCTGGGGAGATGAGCTGTGATTAAGAAGAGCCACTTTTTCATGCTATTTTTTTACGGACTTTTTTTGGGCAGTTTTTTTTTGGCTTTTTTTGCCATTTTTCATCGTTCGGATACGTGTGCTTCATTTGCATTCGATGTGGTTCGGATCGTTTTAGGGGGGCCTTTTTCATGGTTCACGGGGCTGTTGTTCAAAAGGGTGGCCTCTTGAAACACGAATTGTGCTGTTTCTCATTCCTTCAATTGAGCTATAGCATGTTTTTTTGTACATTGCCTTGTGTAGGCCTAATTTATTTTCTTTGCATCAAAATACGTACAGTTTTGGTGTACTTGTAATGTAATTTTCTCCAGGTACTTAACTTTGATTTGTATAAGGAAGTTGTTGAAATAAACTCTATGATTGCGGGAAAATACTGTGCCAGTGTTTTTTTTTTCGAGTAAAATCTGATATTGTTATTTCATTCCATTAGCATTCAGGTAGCCGCAAGTGTCCGCAGGTAACACGTATTGCCCCCGCAAAGGTTTTGGCAGAGAAAATTATTATCTCGGGAACCACGAAAGCTAGGAAGCTGAAATTTTATGGTAATGTCCCTTGCCCATGTGCGAGCTCGCAAATTTAAACTCACTCTTCCCGTGCTCGCAGATGACACGTACGACTTCGTAAAAGTTATGGCGAGGAAAACTTTTATCTCGGGAATCAGAAGAGCTGTGAGACTGAAATTTTAGGACGATGTTTTCTGCCTGTACAGATATATCACACACGCAAATTTAGTTCCCAAATATGCCGAGGTAATACATACGACTAAATGAGTTTTGAAGCAAAAGTCACTAGCTCGAAAGCCAGAAAACTGGAAAATTGAAATTCCGGAGGATGTTCCTCATCCAAGGTTTCAAATTCAGCTTTCATAATCTGGTGCATGGAATTTTTAACTTTTTTCCAATGTTTGAACTATTTTTGCATAAACAAAAATACAGCAGTGAAAATCATTAATAGGCAATCGTTCGATGGGCTGAATTGCACAAAACGCATGATCGCACAGGCTAGTCTGGTGCGCGTTGCTATTTATTTTTTTCGCAACAGAGCGGAAGTAGCAGTAGCAGAAAAATCCTACAGTGTTTACAGGAGAAAAATCGTGAGATATTATTTCTTCGTGGAGAAATTCATGAGTTATGGAAAAGCGATTAGTGGGAGATTTCACTGAATATCGATGATTTTCGTTGCATGGAGCCTGTGGGATTTGCACATTTACGTACTGAAGAAGCTTCAGCTGATGTTATCCCAGCACGTTCGAACAGAAAGTACAAAAAAGCAGATTTGGATATATCCAAGTAAGTTTGATCATTAGCTAACAGAACAGTTTGAGGCAGATTTTTTTTGTTAAAAATTTTGCGATACCATTTTTCTTGATCTTATGGAGCTTATTGTCTTAAATCACTGTGTCAGCTTTTTTGTAAAGGCACTTATAGGTTTTTTTTAACGAAATTTTATTTTCGCAAGTTTTTGTCACTAGCGGCGCCGTTTTTTTTCCGGCAGATGCTTCTAGCTAAAAAAATTGAGACTGACCACCATGTCTGTCAGGAAACATTCCCTTAAAATTTCAAACTTTTATTGTATTTAATGATGAAGACGGTATATATATTGGTGTAATTGAGAGGATAATGTGCGTGCATAAGGGGCTAATATGCATAAAATTTATATAACAGAGTAATAGAAGGTTATAATAAAAAGGAATAAAGTAAGAGAAGAATGAGAAAAAAGAAGAAAAAAGAGGAAAATTAGAATATTTTTGAGATTATTATTATGGTAGAAAGCGCTCCAGTCCATTAAGTTGTATACATTTCTTACCATTACCACAATTGGACCTCGTCAGTGTGTCTTGAATAAATAAGATACAGGAGACTAGGTGGGTCCCCGAAGAGGTGACGCATATCGAACTCATCGAGTGGACAACAGGTGCTCAATGTAGGTAAGCAGCTCAGGATCGAAAGACCTGGCATAGCTGCGCCAAGCATATGGGAACATCCTGTTGGGAGCATCAGGTTAACGGGAGATTGCAAAATTTGGCCGAAAAGGCGCCGGGTAAGGAGGAATTAGCTGTGAAATGCTAAAAAAATATTAAAATAACAAAAAATCATTACAGGGTTTTGTTACAGGTTGACAAAATTACGAGCCCTTACGCTTCGGCGATTGTATTATCCTGTAAATATGCCTGTTTCTCGTTACCAGAAAAAGCTGGTCATGGATTCGTTGTATAACAATATTTTGATAGCACTGCCGAAAGAGCTGGATGTTTCGTTTGTTGCCGCTGTAATAATGTTAAATTTCCGAAGGTAATAATATTAATGTGTACTTGGAATATTAATAACTATTTCTCAATTCTTACTTTCATTTCATCTCTTTCAATTCCCAATTTTAACATTATTACCATTACTTATTTCTTTTCCATCTCAATTACTTTTCATTTTTAACCAAAAAAAGTGTTGTTACCATAGTCGTCGTGCTGACGAAGTCCAACTGTGGTAATGGTAAGAAATGTATACGACTTAATGGACCGAAACATTTCTTACCTAATTTATTACTTCTTTTACATCTTTCCCTTTTTTACTCTTTTTTGACCTTTTCTATTATCCATTTCTACATTTTCTAACGAAATTTCCACTTAACCTTAAAAAAGAACTTTGAATTGTGAAGCGGAAGGGAAGGGGGAGAGGGGGGAGGGGAGGGGAGTTGATAAGGAATCTTAGTGATTCATGCTACTGGGTGATACCCTCGCATACGAGGCGCAGTTACGCCACGTCCTTCGATCCTAAGCTCTGTGTACCTCCATTTGGTACCCATCGCCTATTTAATGTGCTTTGTGATATCTCTCCAGGAGCTACCAGAATTTATCCTCACTCATCACAGTGTCCAGAGTTATCAGCAAGCGTCATATCTTCATAGGTGGACCCAAAAAGAGGGCGGGGACAAACGGGGGGGGG